CCTCTCACCTTAGCCAGGATGTAGTGCTGGTAGGCCGCCAAGGGCAGCGTGACGGCGCCGCGCAAGGCCACAGTGGTGAGCAGAATGCTGCCCCACCATGGCAGGCCCGTGGCGGCGTGCGCCCCAAGCAGCACTGCCTCGGCGCCCCGCACCGGCGCCGAAGCGGCCAGAGCCTCGTACCAGCCGCCCGCGCCAGCGGCAGAGACTGATGCCACCGCCCACACGGGGAGAGCGGGGGCCTTGGCGCCACTCGGCGGGGCCGGCACCAGCGGCAGGCCCCGAGCCCTAAGCTGCAGGGTGGGCAGCGGCCGCAGCCAACGGCCGCCAAGCCGGTGCAGCATGTCTGCGCTCCGACGAACCTCAGGACACCGGCCTCACAGACCAGCGACAAGCGCCGGTCGGCCAAGACCGCCGCGCGCATGCGCCAGCGACACGGGGCATAAAGTGCGGGCGAGCCAGCCCGCAGCAGCGATTGACCTTTCCAGTCAAGCCGGTGACGTCTGCGACGCGCGGAAATTACGCAAGAGAAAGGGAAGTCCCGCCTTCACCACGCGGCACCGGGTAGGCCTACTGCGCACGCGCGAAACTTTCCCGCTGCTGGGGTGGAGCTACTGAGAGACCGGACCGGAAGTGCGGCGCCAGGGGCCGCTTCCGCTGTCCTAGGCGGGGCGGGCTGTTCTCTAGGCAGCGCTCGCCTTGTGTCATTAGTCTGCAGTGTGTACCTTTCTGTTCTTTTTCACCCAGCTAATAGTGTCATTTGTAGTGGGATTACGGTTGGTGGATAGTTTTTGTTACCAGGAGCTGCTCTCCCACCTTTTTACGTGCACCCGATTGCTTCCGCTATAGATTATGATAGATTATAGTGCCCAAGAGTCAACACGTGGCTGAAATGCCGGCTTGGAGAGCGACACGCGTTTTTGACCCTGAGTATTAAACAGCATCCCTAAGGCACAAGGTCCGTCTGTTGCAGTTATTTTTTTCAACCCCACCTGCAAACTGAGTTTCCTTGATGTTTTATCTTCCATTATAAATAGCAAAAATCTTTTTTGTTGTTGTTGAGACAAAGGCTTGCTGTATCACCCGGCTGGAGTAAAGTGGCACAATCATAGCTCACTGCAACCTCCAACTCCTGGGCTCGAGCTATCCTTCTGCAGCAGCATCCCACGTAGCTGGGACTAGAG